CACTGTCACCTCGAAGGAGGGGACCTTCTCATAGTCCAGCGGGCGGAGGATATAAACATCCCCGGTTTCAGTGTTGACGGACACTTCGGGCTGCTCTTTGCCCTCCTGCCGCACCAGTGCGTAGTTCACACGGGCGTTTTTTCCTGCATCGGCGTCCGTGGCCTTCACGCTGCCGATCCGGAGCATGGGGCTGTTGTTCTCCGTGACAGACATGGTGTAAACCTCCTGGGTAAACTCTGGGGGGTTGTCGTTCACATCCGATATCTGCACGAAGATGCTTTCCTGAGAGCTCAGCCTCTTTCTGCCCCAGTCCGTGGCTGTGATGGTGATGTTATATTCCGCCGTCCTCTCCCTGTCCAGAGCCGCGTTTGTTCTCAGTTCGTAGTAATTATCAAAAGTGGGGGTGAGACTGAACGGCAAGTCCCCGTCGATGGAACACTCCGTCCTGCCGTTGTCGCCGGAGTCCCGGTCCCGCACGCTGAACAGAGCCACCACGGTGCGTGGCGGGGCGTCCTCGGGAATGGAGGCGGTGAGGGAGGTGAGCGCTATCTCCGGAGCATTGTCATTCACGTCCAGGACCTCCACCTGCACTTTGCAATGCGCAGACAGCTCTCCGCCATCGGTGGCTTTCACGACCATCTTGTGGGATTTTGCTTCTTCAAAATCCAGCTTTCCCGCGACTCGTATTTCACCGGTGCTCGGGTTCAGCTGGAAGAGCTGCCGGGCTCGCTCCGATGTCTGGGTGAAGGCATAGCGCACTTTCCCGTTGGACCCTTCATCGGGATCCGTGGCGGCGACTCTGACCACCAGCTGCTCCACGGGGCTGTTCTCAACCAGCCGCACCTCGTAGGTCTCCCTTTCGAAGACCGGGATGTTGTCATTGGCATCCAGCACTACGATCCGGATCTGAGCCGTGCCCGACCTGGGTGGTGATCCCCCGTCGGTGGCGGTGAGAAGTAAATTCAGCTCTCCCTGCTCTTCACGATCGAGCTGGCGCTGTAGGACAAGTTCCAGGTATTTTACTCCATCTTTCGCTGTTCCAGTAACGAGGGAGAAATGAGGATTGGGCCCGAGGCTGTAGTTTTGCAAACCATTAATGCCCACGTCCTTGTCCTGGGCGCTTTCCAGGGGGAAACGGGACCCAGGAGATGCTGTTTCTAGAATTTTTAAAACCATCTCCTTCTCCGGGAACACGGGAGAGTTGTCATTTACGTCACGAATTTCCACCTCCCCTCGGATAAGCTGCAATGGATTTTCAAAGAATATCTTAAAGACGAGCGTGCAGGTATCGCTCTGCGGACAGATCTCCTCTCGGTCCAGCGATTCCTTTGCCGTCAAGACTCCGGTGTTTTGATTGAGTCGGAAAAGCTGCTCGTTCCCCTCGGACACAACGCGGGCCTTGCGAGCAGCAAGCTGGCTCAGAGGAACCCCCAGGTCCTTTGCAATATTGGCGACAAAGGAGTCCCTCTCCATTTCCTCCGGCAGGGAGTAGCGGAGGGTTTCAGCCCCGCTCTGACACACGCAAACACACAGAATAAACAAGATCACTTGCCTCTTTCTGTCTCCGCTCCGGCTCCCACACGCCATCTCTCTCCAAAAAATCCATCCACCGTCCTTGGCGGCTCCCAGCATTTTTAGTAGCGTCCGAAGAAGAGCGGTGTGGGCCAGCAAGCCGCGGGTGAAGGAATCTGGAAGCCCCCGAGCGCACCGACTCCTTTGCGTGCAGCTCAGCTCACACGGTTTTTTGTCTCCCTGAGTCTGCAAACCCGGGCGGACCGAGGAACGCCGGTCCGCGGCCAACATCCCCACCCAGCGTCGGAAGGGGGAATATTTCCTCTCAGCCGGGGCAGCGCTGCAGGTTCGGGGTTTGCTGCTTGAATCCGCGCTCTTTGTGCCAAAGCGAAATAAAAATGTGAGCTGTAAATGCTCTCCTCTCTCGGAAGCGGGATCCCCGCTGCTCCGCGTATCACATCCCAACTCTTCAGACACAGCTTTTGGGTTGCGTTGTGTAGGCACGGCAAGTTCCACTGCCACAGAAGAGATTTTTCCTTCTCTCCTCCACTTTTTAATCATCACAGCAATTAGCAAGCGTGGCGAGTCAGAGAAGCTATTGGTGATGAGAACTGGTGCCAGAGAGCTGACAAGGAATTGTCCCTAAGTAATTGTTTCACCATAGCTCGCCATCACAGCAGGATGAGGATGCTGTTCTAGGGCACATCACCTTAATGATGTTTTTTTCCTAGCGGGTGTCACACCTCGCCCTATTTATGCAGTTTTCTGTGTGAAAAAGTTATTAAACTTGAAGTCCTGTATCTACCTAAGGGTGTATGGCCAACAGCCTGTTAATACAAAAGGCAAAAAAAACAAACAGGGAGCTCCTAAGTTAAAGTCCTCGATTCAGAAACGCTAACGAGGAGATAACAATAGCAAAGATAAGGCTCTCATCACACTAATTGATGGGCCATTAAAAGAAGAATTGAAACGTAGACTCCAGAGGTTCAACAAGAAACTCTGTAAAGGATAAAGGAAAAGAAAAAAGTTCTAAAGATTCTCACGGATTATCAGGAAAAGCGTCATGGAAGAGAACAAAGTGTTGACGAGGTGTTTGAGGAATTTGCAATGCTTACTATGAGATGATTAGAGGCTGAATCAAACTCGTTAAGAGAGAGGGATGTCTACAACAGACCTGTTAGGAACAGCCTGGGGAAAACGGAGGTGGAAGGGGATACCGAGGGGTTCTGAGCACGGTCGGGTACCGTGAGGCCGGATTCATGCCGGGAACGGGATAAAAACCTCAGGATCAGGCAGGCATGGCTGGCCCCAAAGACAGATTTAAACCTCGACTGCGCTGAGGATGAGCACAGCTGCCTGGGAGCCCAGCCCAACCTTTCTCTTAGAGAATTAAAAAATGAAGGAGAAAAAAAAATAGTGCTTGCATGATTTACCTGTGGTTCGAGCATTTTTAGTTCAGGTTTTACTATAAAATAAACTACTCTTTTAAAAATTATTATTATGAAGTATCATAACCTTCTTGGTTTTGGTACATTTTCTTTAATTTCCTCGATGTTTTCCTTTTATTTTTGTTTGCTAAAAGGAGTGACGCTGTCGAACAATAGTCAAGAGGTCAAGTCCTGGAAATTCTCTGATGTTTTCATTTGTTTTAAAATTAAAACCTCGTGACTGGATCAGAAGAAAAAAGTAACAACTAGGGTTGACTTTAGGATTCCCGGAAACTTTAGCTATTAAAAGATTTTGCACGAAAGAAGTAATTCTCGGCGACATCCTCTTATCTCCCCTTGACTTGGAAGCGTGATAAGATCTAAACCATTAACATTCATCGAAGGACACGTTCTTCTTGCTTCCAGGGCCGCGTTCAGGAGCTGCGATCATGATCACCAGCAGAGAAGACAAACCATAGGCCAAGCACAGCAGCAGATGCGATGGGAAAGTGGCTTCTCTCTCTTTTTGCCACCCAAAAATAACAGTGACATCTGTAATCCACTTGCTTTGTGCCCACTTTTTCAGTTCTCGTCACCTCCGAGGGGGAAATTAGTATTTCCGTCTACTTATCCTAATATTTGGTATCATTGCGGCAGGGGAATAGACACAGGCCGAGAAGAACTTCCACAGACCCCACCCTGAGTGCAGGAGCTCAGTTATTGTTGCTCCCGTCATTTCAGAAAGGAAATGGTGTCCTTCAGCTTCGGGTCTAGAAGGGTGTAAGAAGAACAGTGATCCTTAACGAAGCTCTTGGCTGTAACAATATCATTGCTCATCAGAAGATGCTGCTCTCCGACCGACGTTTATATTTTTTCAGATTTTAGAGAAATGATAAAGAGGGTCACTTACCGTGCAGCACTAAAGAGTTAATGCTGGTGTTTTCCTTTGTGTCACAACAGTGAAACTGATGAGTATTAATTTTTAAAAAAGAAAGAAGTTTGAATACAGCCAGATGGAGGCACACAGTATTTTAGGACAAATGAAGGAACTATACTCGTAATAAGAAAGATTTCCATCCATGTGTCAGAGAATTATCTTATCTCCTTGGTCATACAGTGATATCGCAGGCTTTCTCATCTCTTATTGATGACATCTTTATCCCAAGAAGAACCAAAAAATCAATTCTCTTCACTCTGCCACTTAAAACTGTATGCTTGAAAAGCATTGGGGCAACATATCCTGCTCAGTTCCTGGTATGGCTCCATCTTTCAGAACACAGAAGCACTAAAAGAAAATTCTTCCCTCACTTCTGAAGCCTGAGCAATTTCAATTTCCAAAATCCTTCTTGGTATTTCATCTGGAAATTCAGATCTGAATCCGAGTGAAATCTCAGAGGTCTCGTGCCAGGTTTTGTGGTCTCTCTGGACAAAGGCTTCTTCTCCATCCCTGGAGCCACTGTCAGCTCCCCTCCAGCACACCCCGAGGATAGGATGGCTTGGGAGAAGCCTGTAGTGCAGAAGAGCAGATACTTCCCAGAACCACAGCGTTTTCCATGGCTGAGTGCAAAGATGGACCAACACTCCCCGCCTCTCCTTCCCAGACAGTTCCCAGGATGGATTTCCTCTTTCGCCTCTGTAACAATCAGGCAGCACCCCGAATTCTCGGCTGTCCCGTGGAGCTGGTGGCCGGAGCTCTCAGCTGGATGCAAGTGTGAGGAAAGCTGGGAGAATCATTCCTAACCTTCCATCTCTGGGTTGTATTGTAAATACTGCAGGTACCTGTTCTGAGGCTCATTTCCCGAGAGATAAACCAGCCTCCTGCCTCTGTCTGCATTCAGTACAGTGAGTGCTTTCCCCATCAGCCTGCTAAAAGCAAACATTTCTTTCTCCCGGTGCTTACCAACCAACCGACTCTGATTCACCCCAGACCTCCGGTGAAATCCTCCCAAATCCCGCAGGGATGGCCCAGGGAGGCCGTCTCCGTCCTTCACACTCCCTGTTTCGCCTTGTGCTCCTGGCTTTTCCAGGCACGTCTCAACGCGGCGATTCCCAGCACATCCTTTGGAAAGGCTTTAAACCAGGGCGTGTTTCGGAGCAGCCGGGGCGTTTCTGCAGGGCTCTCAGCCGGTGCCAGCCCCGCAGGATCTGACTGGTGGCAGATGTCGCTGGTGTCCCCCCACCTCGCCCAGCGCTGGCCAAGAGCGCCACTGGGCTCCCGGCGCAGGAACTGCACAGGGGCGTCTGCCCCGAACCTCGGCAGGAATCTCCCCTCTCACCTTCCGGATATTGCAAGGACAAATTCTGAAATCTATTTCCCACCTGGACTCTTTGGCACATAAACGCGCTCCCTCAGTATTTGTTCAGACGTTTGGTTTGGCATTAATAATCCAGGCAAACGTGAAAAGTCAAAACTTCTGTCAAGTGAGCTCAACAAAGACACGGGCAAGCACAGCAAATATTGCTCGTGTGCTGTGCACTACATTTTCCAGAAGTCAGGAAATTTCAGGCATGGAAGTGCCACACAGGCATTCATGAAGAAGGACAAGAATCTTCAGGCTAGTGAAGAAATCTTTTTATGATTTTCTACCCAAAGATAGGAAATTAGAAGTGTTGGAAGTTAAACAACTGAGAATTATAATAAGAAGGTAAGACCTAGGCAGACTATATACTGCGTTTTCAAGCTCAGCTGTTTGTGGGAGGCTGAGTTTTGAATACTTTGTATTTTGTAAGGAGATCTCCAGCTGTTGGATGAGCTCTCATGGAGTATTCCACAGTTAAGAACCAATTCAGCGTTAACAGAAGCATGAACCTCTGCTGGTCCTTGCTTCAACTGCAACAGATTTCCAAAGAAATCTTAAAGATGAGCCCGCAGGTATTGCTTTGTGGACAGATCTCCCCTTGGTCCAGTGACTCCTTTAAAGTCAGGACTTCAGTTTTTCGATTGAGGCAGAAATGCTGCTGCTGCTGCTCCTCAGACAAAATGGGGAATATATTTCTTCCTAGGCAGCAATATTTGCTTGCTAATGAGACCAGTTCATGAGTCCATCTGCTCCAAAACCACCCTGTGTACTTTCCAGCAGGAAAATCTCCTGTTTCAAAAGTCTACCTTCATGTATTTCCTCAGAGACATTCTGCATTCTCCAGTCTCCAAAGACAATTCTGGAAAGAAGATATCTGCCAGATTGACAGAGACCAAGTTTAGATTTGATATTTACAATAAATTCCTTACTGTGAGGATGGTAAGGCCCTGAGGTTGCTCAGTGAAGCTGTGGCTGCTCCGTCCCTGGCAGTGCCCAAGGCCAGGCTGGACAGGGCTTTGAGCAACCTGGGAAAGTGGAAGGTGTCCCTGCCCATGGCAAAAGGTAGGAACAAGATGATCTTGAAGGTCCTTTCCAATCCAGACCATTCCACGATTCTGTGTGTGCTTAGATCTTTTCCATCCTTCAAAGGCAACAAATTCTCCCCTCTATCCATGACAATCTCAGCACTCCTCATTTGAAAACAAATCCTCTCAGCTGCAACACTTTGCTATCACAAATGCTTTTGAAGGGAAGTAAGTATTTTCATCTTTGTAATATTTGTGCTTAGTGGGATCCAATTTTTCCACCATCAGTCTCACTCCTAGGTCAAATATGCAGAAATTTTCTTCACAAATCCCTAAACCCACACAGGTGTTTTTTGTATCCTGAGGTCTCAAATGGACAAAATTAAAATATTTCTCTTTCTAGAAGTTGTGGGGCAAGTACAATCTACTTAAGTATTTTCCCCCATGTTCTTCTGTTCAATTTTTTTGTGACTCCTTCCACAGTTTCCTGCAGTGGCTGTTCCAGTAGACTCAGAGGAAACAGATTCAAAAGGAAGCAAGCTCATGTTCAGCAGTCAAGCAGCACAAGGTTGTCAGGTAATTCAAGTTCACCGGGTAAAAAGCCCTGACTTCCTGTGTGTTTTTCACAAAGCAACAGAGAAAAGGGTTATTTTCTCAGTGACATTTTAAAAGCCTTGAAAAAGACCTTTCAGGCATGGAAATGCCACACAGGCATTCATGAACAAGGACAAGGATCTTCAGGCTTGTGAAGAAATCTTTCTATGATTGGCTACCCAAAGATCGGAAATTAAGAGTGTTTGAAGTTAAACAACTTAAAATAAGAAAGTAAGACCTAGGCAGATTATATGCTTTCCTGGGCAGAAAAACAGCATATTTTGTCTTAAAAGGACATGTCAGGAAGGAATGGATATGGGAAGAGGTTGGCTTTGGACAGGTTAATTTTGGAAATCTGTCTGGTCATCTGAGCAAGAAAACAGGGATTCATCTGAGAGGCAACTTTAACAGTGAGGGACAGAAGGGGAGAGCAGAAAGAGGGGACAGCAGTGGTTAGAGGAGGGAAAGAAGAATTTGCAAGAAGGACGAAGAAAGGACAAGCATGAAGCTGTTTGGTTGACAAGATTGACCAAGCAGGGTAAGGACAAAGAACCAGAGGCAGGATCCATCCTGACAACAGCTTAGGAGGGGCTGGTTGATGTGGCACCTGTAAGAAGAGAATCACAATAGGCATTAAAGGCAAGGTGGGGTCTAATCAACCAGAGTAAAAAGGGTATAGGGAATTCTGTGGAGAAGCAGGAAGGACAGTAAATGCAGTTTGAAATCAAAGCAGGTGCATGGATCAGAAAGGACCTAAAATGGATACAGAGAAGGAAGAAACAAATGAGTTAGGTAGGAGGAAGAAAGTGTTTATATGAACCTTTAAACCTTGCACTGGTCATTCTCCAATTCTCAGTGTTTGGCTTAAAACAGATTTCTTCACTTTCACCTTTTTTCCTCAGAATACCTTTCTTTCCAATGGGAGAGCAAAAAAATTATCAGAAGGTAGCAGCAAACCAAAAGGACCCTTCTATCTCAGCCCATGAAACTGCAAGTGTCCAGTACCCAACCTTCTGCCTCCCAGTGTAAGGTTTGGCCCTTCTGCAAGCCACGTTCTGAATCCTGTAACCCTTGGATGGCATGAAGATACTGAGATCTGCTCTGGAAACTCTCGGCCCAGTGACGCCTAAAGGGAAGGT